TCCAGCCTGGGTGACACTCTCAAAAAAAAAAAAAAGAAAGAAAACACATCATGTGTGATGAATTATTTTAGAAAGATTTTATGTAAATTTTCTTTACGTGCAATATGTGTATCTTTACTTTAAAAAAAGTCAGTAATTTTTAAACTCTGTTAACTTTAACAGCAGGAGTTAATTAGGTTTATTACTTGCTCATTCTATTCACCCCTAACATTTAAACATTATCTTAACTAGAACAGCAGTGGTATTACAGATGGTAGAAGGTAGGATGTCTTTTCTCTTTTTTCCTGGCAAACTCAAATTTCACCTTGTGACATCATTCCTGCCCCACCCTGTGTAAATTCGACATGCTGGTTTCTGAGCTACCATCACCTTATAGCACCTCCCCTAGTCTTGCACTTCCTATACACAACCATTTGCCTGTTTACATATTATTTTGCCTTTAAAACATGAGTTTCTGGCCTGGCACAGTGGTTCATGCCTGTAATCCCAGCACATTGGGAGGCTGAGGCAGGCTGACTCCTGAGGTCAGGAGTTCGAGACCAGTTTGACCAATGTGGTGGAACTCCGTCTCCACTAAAAATACAAAAAAATTAGTTGGATGCAGTGGTGCATACCTGTAATCCCAGCTACTTGGGATGCTGAGACAGGAGAATTGCCTGAACCTGGGAGTTGGAGGTTGCAGTTAGCCGAGATTGCGCCGTTCCACTCCAGCCTAGGCAACAAGAGCGAAACATCATCTCAAAAAATAAAAAACATGACCACCTGTAATTCCAGCACTTTGGGAGGCCGAGGCGGGTGGATCACCTGAGGTCCGGAGTTCAGGACCAGCCTGGCTAACATGGTGAAACCCCGTTTTTACTAAAAATACAAAAATTAGCTGGAAGTGGTGGCAGGTGCCTGTAATCCCAGCTACTCGGGAGGCTGAGGCAGGAGAATCGCTTGAACTCGGGAGGCGGAGGTCGCAGTGAGCTGAGATCGTACCGTTGCACTCCAGCTTGGGCAACAAGAGTGAAACTCCATGTCAAACAAACAAACAAACAAAAACATGAGTTTCTAATAGCAGGATATCTAGTGCCTAAAACATAGTCTGTGTAGTAAAAAAAGAAAACAAACAAAATCAAGAAGCCTATCGCCCTACAAGCCTAATGAATCAACTTATAATTTTTCCTACTGTCATCCAGGTCTGTGGACATAGTTTTACCTTTTCTGTAAAAATTGTGAAGACATAAATTGATCATGTGCTTTTCTTATTTACCATTATTATAAATACCTTTCTGTTTTGCCCCATGGTTCTCATACATTTTAAAATTACTTTTAAAGCTATCTGTGTGTGCTAATTTTTCTAAAATGCATTTGGATTGTTAATTATTGTAAAGCATAATAGGAAACAGTCTAAAAACAGGTCATCACCAGAATTAGAATTACTATTAAATTTTAGTTATTCTCCCAAAAGTTTGATAAATACAGGTTTAATTATGCCAGTTTTCTAAAAGGACTAATAAAATAAAGTCATATTAAATAAGAACTTGATGAAAAGTGCCTGCTTTTCCTGGTTAAAACATTTAGAAGGCTTTCCAGACAAGTACACAAAGTATCCTAAGTTGCCAGGGTCCTGCTTAATAAGTTATCCTTGCTTTTCTTCTCAATAGAGAACAAAACATATCCTTGCATGACCATGAAACTCATTTCTACTGAAAGCACATTTACTAGGTGCCTGTGATGGGCATCACTTTCCTTTACCTTACAGAGCAGCAGTGCAGCTGAGAAAATAAACATGGGTGTACTTGTAACTTTAATGATAGGGAAATGTGAATAGAAAGTTATAGGATTACTGCAGAAAAAGCAGGCACATTACAGATTTTATCTTTGTTAAATTTTATAAGAATTTTTATTAAAACAAAATAAATGTTCTGTCATCAATTTATTTTATGGGCAATGATATTAACACACTGGTTAGTTTCCCTCCTTCTTCTTCCTTTTCCTCTTCTTTTTCTCTTCTCTGCCTCCCTTCCTCTGCACTTGGTCTCTTCTCTTCCTCTCTTCTTGCCTTCACCAATTATTCATTAACTATATTTTCTTCTCTGAGATAATTACAAGAATTGGTTGCATGGACCAAAATCAAATATCCATTTCTAAAATGTTTAGTCATTTCCTTAAGTACAAATATTATACCATTTAAAGTAGTTTATGAATTACTGAATATTTTGTGGTACAGTTGATTCTAGATTATCAGTTCCTTAGATGTGATTTGTAATGGCAAAACATTGTTTTTATGATTCTTGAAGGTATATTTGTTTGTTATTAGGTACACACTGCCTGCAAAGATTTATACCATCCAATATGTCCACTTGGTCAATGTAAAGTATCTATCATACCTCCAATTGCGCTAAACAGCACTGATTCCGATGGTATGTAGCAGTAGTGTAAGTATGTATATTTCTGGTATATTTAATATTGATATATATATTTCTTTTCCTAGAATAACTATACCTGTCATTGACTATTGTAGTCAGGTTTTCTAAAATAATTCCATTTCAATTGCTGAAAGTACATTCCATTTTTAAAAGAATATATTTAAGTGAAAGTTGTAGAATACCTATTAACACATTGGCGAAATTACTGTTTATAAGACTTTTAGATTTTCTGTTTTAGTAAATAAAATAAGATCATTACTCTGTACTGTAATACAATCTGAAAAGGTTAATTTTTATAAGTGTTTTTTTCCTCTATAATTGAAACTGCCTGTTAGCATGGCTGTTATTAAAATCTGTTTTTCTGTAATTTCATTGTAGGAATTTATATTCCTATAAATGCACTTTTCTGTAAACTTAACTGTAAAGTGCTGAGGAACCCCTCTACGACACTGGTTTTGAGATTACATACTAATTACTTCCTTCTAAGCAAACCATATTACAAAGTAATATGGTAAAACCATGTATAATACTATGCTGTTTTATATAACAGACTTGAGCAACTGTGGATTTTGATATTCGTGGGACTCCTGAGCCAATTCCCCAAGAATACGTAGGGAGGACTGTGCTATTATTAATGTCTTGCATTGATATCGTGCTTTTTGCTTTTCAAACTTTTCATTTAATTTATGCCAATAGATATCTTAGATATAAGTTTATAAACCTGAAGATGTAAGTTTATAAACCGCAAAATATGTGACTTTTTTTAAACCTATGGTATTAACAGCCCTCTCCCCCAACCTAGGCCCTGATTTTGTTTACTATAAATTTTAAAATATTCTCTCAGACTTCAGAAAGGAGCAGTTAAAATACTTTGAAATATTGAATATAAACATAAGAATTGCATACAAATATATAGGTTTGTATGTAAATAGTTAACCTATCTCTATTTGGAGAGCTAAATTATAACTTAATGCTCCAGTTTTTATACATTTATTTTCTTTTATCTGAAAGTTTGCTAATAATTTAAAAGAGAAAGCCGTATGTATTGATCTTGTATTGTGTTTTTTTCACAGGTTTCTGTAGAGCAACATTTTCGTTCTGTGTTAGTCCTCTATTGGTTTTTGTCAATTCTAAGAGTGGAGATAATCAGGGAGTAAAGTTCCTTCGTCGCTTTAAACAGTTGCTAAATCCGGCTCAGGTGTTTGATTTAATGAATGGAGGTCCTCATTTAGGGTAACTGCTTATTGATAAATCTTATTTAAATACAATGTAGGACTAGGTGTTAAATGTGTCTGGTGTTTCAGCTCATGAAAATTATAGATTCCTCTAGATCCCTCCCTCGTTTTTAAAGCTCTAATTATAAGTTTTAACACAACCTTTTGGATAGTTAGACAACTGTCTTGTATAAATTCCAAAACTCTATTGAAATTTCTCAATTCCAAAATTTGTTTAGAAAATGTTTTACAATATATTCTACATCAAACAATACTAACAGTTTCTTTAGCTCCAAGAAAGATCAACTTACATAAATATAGAAATATAAAGTAATATTAGAAAGTGATTTGCATGGAAGGCTGATATTGATTTATATGTAATATAAATAATCAATTTTTAAACCAAAGTACAGGGACTCTCATGGCTGTCAAGGGCAGTTCTTCAAGGATCTCAGACTCAGTTCATGTAAATGACAAAGAAATACTTTTGTTGATGATTCCTTTCAGCTTTCTGGATGTCATATAACTTACAATCTGTAAGATAAAATGAACTAAGTATTTTCACTGAGGGAAAATATACCTTTTGGCACTTTCAGTACATTTTTAGGGTATGCATATGATTTTTCTTAAGAGGCGATATTATGTCTTCTGAATCGGGGCCTTCAAACCTCTGTGTGATTTACTTATGGCAACTCAGCTTTTCTCTTGGGTTCCACCGTTACCTCAAAGCATGAACACAGAAGTAGAAATGGGATTTTCGATACCAGTGCCTGAAAAGGCATTTTGTGTTTTGTAATGTGACACTTTCGTCTGTCTTCTCTGTTTCTCTCCTTCCTTCTCTCTTGGTGCCTCTATTCACTTTTGGCCTCTGAGTTTTCCTTCCCTCTTCCATTGCCTTTATCTTGCTAAGTCTCAGGCCCTTCTGGTCACATGGATGTCGGTCTTGTTCATTTATACCCAGCTTCCTCCTTATCTACGTGTACCGCCCTTCCTTTCCTCTGCTGAGGTGCTAGAGTTTCCTCTTCTCACCTTCTTTGTCTCTGCCATGCTAGGGTAGTTTTGTCCCCCTTTCTAACACATCCATTTTATAATCCTTTATAGTTCCATTATCTTGTAGTCTTGATTTATTTTTCCCATTTGTCCTCGAAGGCTCCAAGGACCTCTCTTGGTGAAACTTCCTGAGGTTGTCCCTCTAATATTTTATCAGATTTTCCACAATACGTGAAGTAAGTGTACAAGGGTACATTTAGGAGATGGGATGTGTCAAAAGTTGAGATGAGGTAAAACAGAAGGATGGACCTGAGAATAGGAGAAGAAGAGGAGAAAAAGCCAGTTGGGAGTCCTGAGAGCAATACAGTGATTGGTGTCTTTAGGAACTGCCGAAGCGTCACTCGTTAGTTTCAGCACCGTAGATTTCTTACCCATGGTTTGTAATTCTTAAGGAAAGAATTTATTCTTGTAATAGAAAGAGAGGAACCACTACTTTCACCATCTTGTATTACTTTATCTTTCCTGGTCTCTGCTTCTTTTTTGTTTTCTCATTTCTCACCCCCACTCCTCCTAATTTTATCTTCATTTCTACTTATCATTCCCTTTCCTCCTTATGATTCAGAAGTTTTCTTGAGTTAAAATTACACTTCAATGAATGTTTATGGTATAATTAACATGTAAGTAGGAGTTCTTATATTTAATCTGAATATGAATACCGATAGAGAATAGCAAAGAATTGAGGAAAGTGATTTTTATTTCTTTATACTAAAATAAAATCCTTTTTGCTTTCAGTTTAAGATTATTTCAGAAGTTTGACAATTTCCGGATTCTTGTTTGTGGAGGCGATGGAAGTGTAGGTTGGGTTTTGTCAGAAATCGATAAGCTCAACTTGAATAAACAGGTGAGTGCTAATTCTTTTACTTGCTAGTTAACATGAACGCATACTAACATACTTACAAGAGGTGCAGAAATGCAGTAGTCCCTATTTCTCAACTTGTCTGAAAGTCACCTTGTTGTACTCTCTTTCAGTGTCAGCTGGGAGTGTTGCCTTTGGGTACAGGAAATGACCTTGCCCGAGTTCTTGGCTGGGGAGGTTCATATGACGACGACACCCAGCTTCCTCAGATCCTAGAGAAACTGGAACGAGCCAGTACCAAAATGTTGGACAGGTAAAAGTGAATTCTTTTCTACAACTAGATGGAAAATGGCATACTGAAATCATTTTTCGATGATTTATTAATAAATATTCATTAATAAATTGTACTGACTAGAAGCTCCACGAAGGCAGAGCCTTTCTGATCTTGTCCACTGGTTAATACCTCAGATGGAGAACAGGGCCTATCGCAGAGAAGATACTCAATAAAGATGTTTTATAGTAAATGAATGAATTTTAAAACACTAGTCTGAGGAACTCATTATTTTAAATATAGAAGGGTATGTTACTACTATTTACTTTTAATTACAGTTCAAGTCAGAAAACTGAAATAGTTCATTTTGTAGGGGACCTTTTGATGAGTATATTAGGTAGCCTCCTGTCATCGTGTGGTTTCCAAAAAGCTGAAGAGGACGTATAAACGTTAGATTTGTTAGAATATCTCCTCTTAAACATATATATTAAGAATGCATTGATCCAATAAGAACTACATATATTAAAATATAAGCAGTCCTTTCCCAGGGACAGGGAAGTGTTAGGAAGATAGCTTCAAATGAAGGGAGTATCATTGTGTTTATGCTGTTCTTGATTACATCTCTTAATTGCTTTCTCTCTGAATGTCCATGTAATAAAAAAGAAACTACAATGTATACCCTGAGTGTTATGGAGGAGGTGTTTAGAATTTGGGTATAAGAAACAACAGGACTCAGTAACCAGTCACTCCTCATCCCCCAATGTCAGTAGAAGACAGATATCAAAATATGATCAACTTGAGGTGGCATAAATCAAAACAACTTTGATAGAATTAGTCATCTGTGGAACTCTTCCCGAAGATAACACAATTTCATCAGGGAGCCACCAATCTGAAATATAATTACTCTAAGATGGGCTATAACCTCATTAATTGTAACCCTGCCTGTCATAAGGTAATACTGTAATAGTTGATTCTTTTGTTGACAGAATATTTAAAAAGAGAGCTGGGAAGTAGAACATTCGTCTCTGTTTATCCGAAATTACGTGAGAGAGATACTACAGTAGCTTGGGTGCATAAAAGTTTTTAATCTTATGTGCTTCTGGGTTCAGCCTCCAGCCTTTAAAACAATCTGGAGGTTAAAAGAAGAAAAGGAACGAAAAAGAGAAATGGTACCTATGGATATGCCAATTACCTTGATTGTGGTGTATATATATCCAGACATCAAATTGTACACCTTAAATATATACAATTTTTTGTCAACTGTACCTAACTCTGGGGAAAAAAGATTGGAAATAAATAAATAAAATCACCATTATTTGTAAATGAGCCTGGAGGTGACTTCCCAGGCAACCGTCCAATTCTGTGATTACCAAACAAAAGGGGTTATTTAAATGCTTTCTTTGTTGCAAATGTAAAGACCACTTCCCCTACTGTTAGGCATTTCATGTACCCTGGGTATGTGCTTTGCCCTTGTGTGCTATAGAAATTCACTTCTCAGGTAGGGGAGGTGGCTCACGCCTGTAATCCCAACACTTTGGAAGGCCTACGTGGGAGGATCACTTGAGCCCAGGAGCTGGAGGTTGCAGTGAGCCACAATTGCACCACTGCCCTACAATCTGGGCGACAGAGTGAGACCCTGTCTCAAAAAAGTTTTAAAAAAATAAAAATAAAAAGTCACCTCTCCAGGTGGTTAGCCAAGGAACAGCACCTCCATGGTGAAATTCCTTGAATACCTACTGGTACGCAAAATCAAAATAAAACAAAAGAAAATACACACACACACAAATCAAAGTGGATTCAGAAACTTAAGACCTTTATTAGAAACATAGGAATATTTTATTCCTGTGTTTCCTTTATTAATTTACTGTTTGTAAAGAACAAGTGGGTCGGATGCAGTGGCTCACACCCATAATCCCAGTACTTTGGGAGGCCAAGGTGGGAGGATTACCTGAGGTCAGGAGTTCGAGACCAGCCTGGCCAACATGGTGAAACCACATCTCTACTAAAAATACAAAAATTAGCTGGGCATGGTGGTGGGCCCCTGTAATCCCAGCTACTTGGGAGGCTGAGGCAGGAGAATCGCTTGATCCCAGGAGCCGGAGGTTGCAGTGAGCCGAGATCATGCCAATACACTGAAGCCTGGCCAACAGAGCGAGCCTCTGTCTCAAAAAAAAAAAAAAAAAGTTAAAAAGTAATTGTTTACTATTCTAAATTACATGAGTTTTTCAAATATATTTATTTGATCCTCAAAACATAGAGAATAGCAAAGAATTGAGGAAAGTGATTTTTATTTCTTTATACTAAAATAAAATCCTTTTTGCTTTCAGTTTAAGATTATTTCAGAAGTTTGACAATTTCCGGATTCTTGTTTGTGGAGGCGATGGAAGTGTAGGTTGGGTTTTGTCAGAAATCGATAAGCTCAACTTGAATAAACAGGTGAGTGCTAATTCTTTTACTTGCTAGTTAACATGAACGCATACTAACATACTTACGAGAGGTGCAGAAATGCAGTAGTCCCTATTTCTCAACTTGTCTGAAAGTCACCTTGTTGTACTCTCTTTCAGTGTCAGCTGGGAGTGTTGCCTTTGGGTACAGGAAATGACCTTGCCCGAGTTCTTGGCTGGGGAGGTTCATATGACGACGACACCCAGCTTCCTCAGATCCTAGAGAAACTGGAACGAGCCAGTACCAAAATGTTGGACAGGTAAAAGTGAATTCTTTTCTACAACTAGATGGAAAATGGCATACTGAAATCATTTTTCGATGATTTATTAATAAATATTCATTAATAAATTGTACTGACTAGAAGCTCCACGAAGGCAGAGCCTTTCTGATCTTGTCCACTGGTTAATACCTCAGATGGAGAACAGGGCCTATCGCAGAGAAGATACTCAATAAAGATGTTTTATAGTAAATGAATGAATTTTAAAACACTAGTCTGAGGAACTCATTATTTTAAATATAGAAGGGTATGTTACTACTATTTACTTTTAATTACAGTTCAAGTCAGAAAACTGAAATAGTTCATTTTGTAGGGGACCTTTTGATGAGTATATTAGGTAGCCTCCTGTCATCGTGTGGTTTCCAAAAAGCTGAAGAGGACGTATAAACGTTAGATTTGTTAGAATATCTCCTCTTAAACATATATATTAAGAATGCATTGATCCAATAAGAACTACATATATTAAAATATAAGCAGTCCTTTCCCAGGGACAGGGAAGTGTTAGGAAGATAGCTTCAAATGAAGGGAGTATCATTGTGTTTATGCTGTTCTTGATTACATCTCTTAATTGCTTTCTCTCTGAATGTCCATGTAATAAAAAAGAAACTACAATGTATACCCTGAGTGTTATGGAGGAGGTGTTTAGAATTTGGGTATAAGAAACAACAGGACTCAGTAACCAGTCACTCCTCATCCCCCAATGTCAGTAGAAGACAGATATCAAAATATGATCAACTTGAGGTGGCAT